TTTTATCAATTATACCCCCAGTCTGTATTTTCGTTCTTTAAGTTTCTTTGACCTTTCTTTAACAAACAAACTTTCTATATGTCTTTATCATTTATTTAATTTAATTTAGAATTGTCTCTGAAAAACATCAAAATTAAGATGTACTGTTTCTTTATTTAAGCTGAATGATTTATTATTATTTCTGTAAGGTTTAAGCTGATACATGTGCTGATGTGTTCGTTGTAAGTGTGTGTCTTGTAATGTCCGTATATGTTGGTGTTGCATGATTTTAAGAGATGCACTCTAAACTATTTAAGCACACTGAATAGCTGAATGAAAATAAGGGATTACTGCTGCTTGTCAATGAATGTACAGAGCTGCCAAAATTAAACTAAAAAACATTTTTGTTCTCTATCAATGTACCCAAGTTCTGGGGTAAAATATTTAATATCACCTCTACTAAATGATAGCAAAACTAACAATTTTCTTCTTTTTAGTGCACTATAGTTTAAATCCAGACAAAAGTGTTTTGACAAATTACTTGATTAGCAGCTTCTCACTGATCTAAAATGTGTGTTTGGGATTAATGAAGCCATAGTTCAACAGACTGAAATATTGCTATGAAACAAGCCCGTTAGATGATGACTCAGCAAAGAATATTTACACAGGAAATGCACCAACTGCTGGGAATCAGAATCAGCCTAGTTTAAAGTGATTTTTCCTAATTAGTACATTTAAAAAAAATTATCATAAAAGATAAAAACTATCATAACAAGGATATTTACAATAAAAAATCTGCCTTTTTTCACAATTCACTGATTACAAAATACACTGAGGGCATGACTTCTCACCCTCCTGAGGCCCAGTGTCCATCCTGTGAGTTCCACAGCTTTGAAATTGTTGGATAAACCGCAGCAAATCTCATATGATTGGAAATCCGCGATATATCCTTTCCACAGGATAAGTGGCTTTATTCTTGGAGACCATATTATGTTTGAGTATAATTGAAACTCTTGTCCAAAAAAGGACAAAATGCAATGCTGGGTATCGGGAATATTGATATGATTGCTTCAGTTATTGAAAGTAAACCTGTGCTACAATCAAATGGACCAGAATCTGCTAACATTTAACTTTTAAAAATTACTCTATGATTTAGACCAATGAGCAGTGCTGACTAACGTGTGATTGGGGTCATCAGATGGGCACCTCCGTTCATCAGTTTTTCAGAATCAGAATCAGAAATACTTTAATAATCCCTAAGGGAAATTATTTCGCTCTGGAGTAGTTTTGGAGAAAAGGATTTTGTCAAACATCACCAAAATAACAAAACAGAAAATCAGCTTTTAGTTTTACTTTCAAATGGGCAATGAAAACGCAATCTGGACTCCTTAGTAAGTTCTGATCTGAATTTAAAACTGAATTCTTTAGGGGTTTCGGAGAGTTGGGTGTTGTTTTCCAACCAATGTTTATTCATCTGAATAAAAGACGACTCAGTAGATTTAAATAAGATGTGGTCATAAAGGCAGAGTTTCAGTATGACGTGGAAATGGGAAATGGAACCAGATCAAGCTAACTTGTTTTGTTTTAATGTTGGCAGCCCTGTTCATTCGCATGTAAAGGCCTCCAGACTGAGGTTTCTCAGATGCATGTTAGTTTCTATTTTAGGAAAATCTCCAGTTTGACTGGCAGTTCACTTTAAGCATGAGAAGATTAATGGGTCCTGATAAGATGATAGGAAACCACAGATGTATATGTGTGTATATGTGTACGTCACTGATCTAGCTGGGAATAGCATGTTGCATCCACGCTAGCTTCATTTGCACCATTCTCTGCTTTTGACTGTGTAAAGTTCTGAAGTCATCACGTTGGTCACTGTATTCTTCACACTTTTATAAACAACTTTTTCACATTAAATCGGACCCACACTTACAGAATGGCAAGGTAAGGCAAGAATTTCACAACTATTCCAACATGCTCTGCAATCTCTAACTTTCCTCATATTTCTCATCGTTAGCTTGAATAACGGATGTACACTTGACATTGTTCTCTGGTGTTGATGGGAAACATTCTTTTTTCTTAGTTTTGATTTGAAATTCTTATATGGTTTCGGGTGGATGATATCGTTTTATCCATTTTCATGTCAGTCTGTGTGGACTGTATGTCTACTTGTTGATTTCGTTCTTATCTTTATCATTTGAATTGAGTTTAAGAGCCATGTATTTATTTTGGTGTCTGTAACTTTTGACTTGCATGGAGGTGGTGTGTGTGTTTTTAGGGTTGTATGTTGGGGCAGTCTGACTTGCGTTCTTTAAATCATTTTCTTTCTTTTTTAAGTGACATGACCTTTATTTTTTACAGTTTCTTTTCATTGTTGATGCCTGACTGAATGCTGCATGCTGGGAAGAGTTTAAACATGCGTCTGTTTCTGATGAACTAATGTGTGACCCGTCCTGTCCTGTCTGCGTGTCTGTCCTTTTCCGGTCTGTTTTCCAGAGTGGATTCACCCCCCTGCACATCGCTGCCCACTATGGAAACGTTAACGTGGCGACCCTCCTGCTTAACCGTGGGGCCGCGGTAGATTTCACAGCAAGGGTAAGCTGTACGCTAATGGATTATTCTGTGAGTTCAACAAAGCCTTTAGAACTCTGGGATTCTATACTAATACTAATATTTCACCCCTATTAGTTTGAATTCAGTTCAGTTTTATTATAAAGTCCAAATCAAGCCAATCACAATTATTTGAAAACAATCATAATCCATTTAAGTAAATCAAATATTAATTGAAGAATTGGTCCAACTTCTACGGAGCCAATGATTTTAAATTAGTTCCCAAGTTAAGGGAACACATTGCAAATCAAAATATATAACATTGGCGGACAATACACATAGTTTTGCCTTTTGTTGGTTCAGATTGCAAAACTTCAGAATTGTTCCCACATGCTGAAATATGCAAATTTTGTAGACATGACATACTGTGAGTGATGTTATGTAGACCATGTAACCTTTGGTACTACTGCATCTTTTATTTCTCGCACCTTTTCAACCTCCTTTTTCAGTGTTGGAAACTTCATGTCTTCCTTCTTGCTATCGTTTGTATAGCCCATTTAGTTCGTTTGTATCTCCCATTTAGGGAGAATTAATGCAATCTGTGGATTTCCTTAGCCTGATGCCTTTGTAACGTGATTTCTGATTGAAATACGGGACGTGTTCTCTGTTTCAGAATGGGATCACCCCCCTACATGTGGCTTCTAAGCGGGGCAACACTAACATGGTTCGCCTGTTGTTGGATCGAGGATCTCAGATTGACGCGAAAACACGAGTGAGTACGACAAAATAAACTTTCTCAGACCTGATTTTACAGTCGGATAAAAGCTGACCCGCTTAACTGTCTATCACAAACAGAACACGTGTGTTTGCTGTTTGCTCCCACATTGTAATGTGTCACATCTGGCCAAGCAGATGTGGCATCGGTTGATCTTTTAATTCAAATGGGTGTCATGAGGGACTCCCTGGCTCCTGCCCTGTTGTTTGGTGGTGTGCCAAGTAGCTGACGGTCAGTTTTTTGGGTGTTATTAGAGTCTGACAGCAAACAGCAACATCCTCTCTGACTTAGTTATGAGTCTCCATGAATCCACCTTAATGTAGTCTCTTCTTTAGGTCAGGGAATGGTATTCAGTTAGAATCTGTGTGATCATTCGACTTATCCATTTCTCTGTGCGTTGCTCTGCAGGATGGGCTGACTCCCCTTCACTGTGCGGCTCGGAGTGGACATGAAACAGCCGTCGAGCTGCTGCTGGAACGAGGAGCGCCTCTGCTGGCCAGGACCAAGGTGCTTTAGCCAATCATTTCTACAAGATTCATGCCATCGCATATCACCATATCACCAAATCTCCATATCATCATATGAGCGCATAAAACCAACCAACCCAAGCAGATACTGGGCAATCGATGTTCTATCCTCAACACAATGACAGGACATTCTTTTTGGTTCCTGCTATATATATATACTGTATATATGTGTGTGTGTGTATGTATATTAGAACTAAGCATTGCTAATCAGTCTGCCAGTAAACTATTTTTAAAGCTGATGCCGCGACAAATTAAAATATTGCTTGTATGTAATTCTCAAAATGGCTTAAGAAATGTGGATATCTGTTGTTTTTTTTAGAATCAGTAAAACGTTCATAATGGCCATCAAAGAAAGGAACATTAGCATTTATATAAAGATTGCTTGTTATTTCAGTGTTGCCAACTTGTCAAG